ACGGAGAAAAATGTTTGCAGCAGAAAAAGAATGCAGGGCCTTGCGTACCACAGACTTAGAGAAAAGAGCAAATGAAAGGCCTCTGGATAGACCCAAATCAAAGAGCTGACGCGATTAGTTGCCAACTCTGTTGCTCACCATAAAATTGTAACTTTGGAAATTTGCAACATTTTCAAAAGTGAAAATTACACGGACGATGGATATCATTCAAGAAAGGTAAGGAGGAATTAGCTTATAATCCCATAAAACCAAAACCTGAAAGTTAGAATAGTGCTGCGGCCAATGCTGGCTGATTAAAAAGCACTCTTCCGGACTGGAGAAGGCGATAAAAATAAAGGTCTGGAAACAGTGAACTTTTTATCGTAGCTGACATCCGCCCGAGAAACTAGTCATCGGTAGGTTTGGCAGTGGGACAGATAAATCAGCCATAGCGTGAAAACCTACAATAATTACTCACTATTACTTAGTAATACTGGTTATATTTGAAAAAGGTAAATATCGCAACAAGCGTGAAAGAAGAGGTAACGGTTTTGATTCAAATAAACAGATTTCGTATCTCATGCATCACGCGCAACACGCTCAATTTGCTCTTACGGCCGCATCCTCCTGTGCAGCAATTTTTTAGCCTTTTGGAATTTTTTCCTTGTTCCTTCCAAAGTGCGTCATCGGACCTCAAACACAATATAATAAATATAGGTAATAAATAAGTGAATATAAATAGACAAATAAATAGATAGATAATATATACGGCTGCTACAGAGAACTTTCTCGGATTGTGAGGGGTGGGGCCGAGAGCAACGCCAGAAAAGCCACGGAGAGGAAAGGCTGTGGGAATTTTTCTTAATTTAACTGACTTTGGAATTTCAGCTGGAACAAAAATAATTTAGGATAGTGGTAAGTTAAAATTTTTTTATCACGATATATTTATATTCCTTCTATGCATTTCCGCAATTCGAACACCTTGACAACTAATGTAAAGTACTGCAGTCGTGCAGTCACAACAGAACTTGGATAGTAACGTTTGGTGAAGTGAGGAATAGTCTATTTTGCAGCCATCTTCTTTGTGGATGAGAAATTATGCATTAATGGAATATTCTGAACTTTT